TTTTTTAACTACGTAGGATTGATATACTTGACTAATACGATATCACTAGACATTCAGATGACAGTTACATGTGTTGCTTAGGCTTTGGTGTTAAACCACAATAAACAGTGTAGTTTTAAATAACTAAGTAGGACACAAAAGTGCGTAATATATTGATTTTTCCGGTTGATTGATTGGACTGAAATGTTTGCCTCCTGTTAATATGTCAGCTGCCAGTGTAAATTCTTCAACGATGTGTGAGAGATTAAGTTAAAGTAATTTTGAGTGGATGATGGTGAGACCAGCACAGGGAATCTACAGCATGAATGTTTCGTCCTATTTGGAGCTCGTCATTTGAAAGTAATTTCACTTCCCAGTGAGTGAGTGAGTGAGGTGAGTGATAGTGTCCCCCCCCACACACACACTGAGACTCGAACCTAGGGAATCATCGTTTTAAACGCCAAATCCCTACCTACTGGACTATGCAGAGTTACCTGTTAGTCACCGACCATCTACCAAATTACTCCAATGGTGCATATAAATTATTTAGTGACAATCCGTAGTTAGTAGAAATCATGAGCAAATATAGTGGCGAAATGCAGTGTTTGTATCACAACCTTACGGGGATGATCCCAATCTCTTGAAGAACTGTGGGTGAGCACAGTTAGACAGTTTCAAAGTAAGAAGAAACAGGTGTACTTAGAGGGCCCCTGTACTTTCAAGACCGTCTAGCTGACGTTAATAATAATAGTAATAATAATAATAATGAAATGCACCAGAGACATACTTGATGAGAAAGAAAGAAACCTGACACAAACTCTGGTTTATAATAATTATTCAGACAACTTCATTACGAAATATAGAGTGATCAGGCGGATACCATGACCCACTCTTCAACTCGCCACTAACAAAGACGTATATATCAAGCTACCTTGTGGATGGGTGATCATAGTAGATTGGTAACTCGACAAAGGCTGAACGCTATTGTGATTAAAAAAAGACTTTTCATGCAGCTGAGATCAGAATAATTGAGAATGTGGAGCCAATATATCCATCTAAACCCTAAGAACAGGTGAAAAGTGATGTCAAATCCTCCAAGTGTATTTACCAATGCGAATGTATGTGTGGACACAAATACACATACACACACATATAGGGCGGATTCATCGATCTCTAGAAGTAAGGTCTGGCTTCAGAAACAAGTGGAATCCTCACAATCAATTAGTTAGTGGTGAGAACAGACAACCAAGCTCCTCTATGGCAAAGCATATTGCAGAGGAGACAGGACATACTACTTACTGGTGTTTACACGTCTTTTAAACCTCTCCATGGAATGTGTTTCGCGGAGGGCGTATCCTCAACTTTGTGGAAGCTAGCTCTAGCTAGCAATTAGGAAGTTTACACCACCTTTATGCGTCCAAAGTAACAACTCATCATCACACTAAACCTCCCTTCCTTGGTAAACTTTGTTTTGATACTAGTCAGGGTAGATGTACTATGTTACCTCTGTTATTTGGTTTAGTGATCTCCATTGTTATTTTCACCTTCAATATGTCCTTTTAATTTGACCTAAGTAGTTTATTCTCTCACCTCTTAATTCTTCATTAATCGCAGCCTGATAAAATGTAGAGAGACAGTTGTGTATAGAAGGGATGCTCAGAGTACAACAAAGATAATATGAAAACAATCAGATGATCAGGATACTTAACAAATTTGGCTTTGATGAAGCTGTATTCTCTTTCTGTCTCTCTCTGAGCTGGTTGATTTATTTGCGAAGCACTCATTATCGCTCTACTGGGCAACGTCGTCAGCGCATACTTTATTTTCTTGAATTGAACTTTTACAATTCTCTAAATATTCCCATTTTTAATAAGAGAACAAGACATATAATAAGCGAACAATATTGTTGTTTTCAATTAGATTCCCTTCTTCAGGCTTTACTCTTATTTACATAAATTTTCATATAAAAATTTTTAACCAATGACAATGATCTTGTGAATCAAATAATAATAATAATAATAATAATAATAATAATAATAATAATAATAATAATAATAATAATAATAACGAACTTAGTTAATAACGATGATTATAATGATAACAAATTAGGGCGAACAACTAGACAGCTTAACAAACGCAATTAGTGAGCATCTTCCTTCTTGGTTCGGAAAAGGTCAAATAAAATCTATAAAAAGTTCTATTTTGGCTCATTTGATTCATGATAGCGGTTACCAAGTGCAGAGAAGAAGAAGAATTGCCTTCCATCGAACCTTTCGAAAGGAATTCGAATCCTGCATTTTACACATAGTCGAAGAAGCTATGGAAATTAATTCGAGAGGACAACCCTAGTCTTTGCATACGACAAAAGAAGTTTGTACTACCTTTGCCTCTCCCTGGCTTAGCCTAGGTGAATTCTATTCAAAACTCTCCCACGTACCCTTTCTTATTTTCCATTTCCTTCGTATTTTTATGATATTTATTCAAGCCCTGATCATATCTGTCCACTTCACCCATCTTTAGTATTACGTAACTTTTAAGATTTGACCTAATTTATTTATTCATTGAATTGTCTCCATATGCACACACATGACTACCTTTGTTATTCTTATCGCCACCTGCATAAACCTTATTATCCTTATTACTTTTGTTATCATTATAATCATCGTTATAACTGACGTTCAAAAATTTAACATATTATTATTATTCTGAAAATTTCATTTGTTTCTGGAGCCATTTAGGAATATGCTCTGAAGCCAGCCCTTAATTTGCAGAGATCGATGAGTCCTCCCTATGTATGTGTGTCCACACGTACATTCAAATTGGTAAATACAGTGTGATGTGACATCATTTTTCGCATGTTCGAAGGGCTTAGATAGATATATTGGCTTTACATTCTCAATTATAATGACATTAGCTGCATAAAAAGTCTTTTTAACAGCAGCGTTCAGTCTTTGTCTAGTTATCAAGCTGCTATGATACCTCGCCCATATAGGGTATCTTGATGTACACGTCTTTGTTAGGGGTGAGTTGGAGAGTGGGTCTTGGTGTTCTGACTACTTCATATCTCCTGCTGAACTTGTCTGGATAATTGTTATCAACCAGAGTTTGTGTCAACTTTCTTTCTTCCGCAACAAGTGTGTCTTCAGTGCACATTCGTTGGATTCTACTGAAGAGGCACCTCACTCACTAAGGCTCTTTTGTACTGCACAGGGCAGAAACTGTAGTAATTAAGATATTGTCCTACCCAGGTAGGTTTTCTATAAATAGATCTTTTTATTGACCCATCAAGCCGTCGACTAAGCAATATGTCTAGGAAAGATAAATAATTATCTTCCTCTTCTACAGATGTAAGTGATATGCTTGTTATTCTGAACTTCATTCATTCGATTTGAAATTGAGGTGGGCAATGGCGGGGCTAGCTAGTTGAAGAGGACAGCAGAAAACAGAATAAAGTGGAGATGTGTTGTTGAAGGCCTATATGTTCCACTCGGAACCCAACAGTGGTAATGGTGACTATGTTTTCCACATATCTTGCTAAAAATTGATACTAACCGTGAACAGTAACCACTGTAACTAAAATAAAAGCTATTTAAAACGCCTATCTCAAAGAAATGCATTCATTTCTTAGGATAATCAACACTAGTCCCTTAAACGACCTAACTTCCTTTCCTTCAGAAGTTCACCAAAAAGGTTCTCATTATAATTTATTCAAAACCCTTTAGATGGAAAGTCTATACTACCACATAGATTCAGTAATGTTATCATTAGGCAATCTTAGATGACAAGAGTCCAAGCAATTATTGAATCCCTAGGTCACCTAAATGTCACTAATCTCCCACTTCACTTGTGACACTCTGTGCACCCGACTATAATGGCAATGGTAACTAAGTCTAACTACTATTAGCTAATATTAAAAAAAACGCCACATGTCAAGTGATCCACAACGGAAAACTCAGTGAGGCGTTTGGAGTAAACACACGAGTCAGACAAGGGTACTTATTATCACCAATGATATTCCTAATTGTGGTGGACTGGATTATGCGTCAGACAGTTGGAAACGAGAAGACAGGGATATCCTGGACCGACGTGAAGAACCTAGAAGACCTGGATTTCACGCGTGGATGATTTATGTTTGATATCACACAAAATCGAAGACTTACAAGTGAAAACCGACAAACTGGTCGAAGAAGCAGCCAGAGAAGACAGGACTCCAGGTGAACATAGACAAGAATGAGGTTATGAAAATAACCAACCAACACCATCAACAACAACAGAAACAACATCCACCAGCGCCAATCACCATCAACCCGAGGGATTTGAGCGAGGTTACTTCATTCACTTACCTAGCTAGGGAGCATTGTTTCAACTACACGAGGAACGGACGAAGATGTCAAATCGAGCGAGAATCGGGAAGGCGAGAAACACATTCATCAACCTGAAACAACCAATCTGGAAATCTTCGTCACTCAGCAACACTCAACAACAAAATTCGGATTTTCAATACAAACGTTAAGTCAGTCAGTTCTCCTATACGGATGGATCAGAAACTTGGCGGCGGGTCACAAAGAATATTTCGAACAGCCTGTTGCAGACCTTTATCAACAACAACTGTCTTAGCTCTATTCTGAAGATTAGATGGCATGAAAGAACAAGAACCAAGAAGAAACTATGGGAACAAACAAAACAAGAACCAATCGCTCAACAAATATGCAGGAGAAAGTGGAGATGGATTGGACACTCGCTGGGTGACATCGTGCGTCAGGCCATCGCTCGAGCGGAACCCGAAAGGGAAGTGGCGAATGGGACGTCCAAGGGTGACATGGAGGAGATCGTGTGAAGAGGAGTTGAAACAGTATGGAGCAAGTGGAGAAGTGCAGTTAAAGCCCTATGTGCCCCTAGGAACCCAAGGGAATAATAATAGTAATGACAGTGGTAACTAAGTCTACCTACTATTAGCTAATATAATATATATCAAACAAAAGATATATATATATACATACATATATGTATCACAAACTTACTTCAAAGTTTTTGAATTAGAAACTGTAGATTCCAATTTCCCGCTCAAATGGTGGAAGTCAGTATTACACCGAACTTTAATACTGTTAACATTCTGTAAGTCATGCGAAGTATCAGAATTCATTGGGATATTATGTGGACAAGAAGCAGAAAATGAAGTCGATTGGACTTGTCTACTTGTATTATCATCAGTATGATTATTGTTAACCATAGTAGATGTTTCGTCGTATGAATCAACAGAAACGCTCGATGATGATGGTGATGATGACGTTGATGATGATGGTGACGGAGATGATTCATCAAATAGACCAGGCATTGGTTTGAAGGGATGAATAAAAGCATCGGCGGCTAATTGATGAGCCCATATAAATATTTTATTCGATTTACAATGTGGGATAATATGACGCCACATACCGTATAAACGATCTTCTAAGGAAACATCCAACTAAAAAAAAAGAAATAACAAATAAATAATAAGGATATACCTTCACAGTCAGTGTAAAGCATTATTATGATTAGAAAAGAAGTCGACTTTATATGCGATACATAAACAGCCTATTCTACAGTTGGAAAAAGGTTTCTAGTATAGAACACGACAACAACAACAACAACAACAATTGCACTGAGTCTAGTTTCAATTGATTCCTAGAGGAGCGCATAGGGCTTCAGCCACACGTCTCCATTGTGTTCGGTTCTCCGCCCAAGTTTTCACAACTGGCTCCCCGTCTGATTCTTCATATCACCTCCTCCTCCAAGTCACCCTCACACACTGACGACCAACTAACTCACCGCTTTCCAGTCGGGCTCTACTCAAGCGATGGCCTGGCGTGCGATGTCATTCACTTGATGATGGTTTGTTTTCTCAGAGTATCGCCGCCAATCCAATCCACACCTTCATTTCCTCCTGCATATTTGTTGCACAATTTGGTTCCTGCTGCGTTGGTTTGCTCCCAGAGATCACTGACTTACTATTGCTGATCTTTTCTGGCCGGCCAGCTCATCTTGATCATCACGTTCTACAGCTATATGTATACATCCCTCCATCCATCCAGAATAATGATTGTTATTGATGACAACATTAGGCGTTTCTTTTTATTAAGCGTAACATGGAATCATTCACAGCTTAATTCCAAATGGTATTTGCAAACAGATACTTAATAGATTATCGTCTAAAGCATATTGTGTATGTTGTAGTATGAATAATTGTAACACTGAATTGAACACCCATATTACATAGTAAATGATTCCTCGCTTATACATGCCATGATTATACGGTCTACCTAAAGTGCTGAAACCGGTAGTACCGTTAAGACCAATAATTGATATGTAACATTCGCCCTATTAGTTTGTTTATTAGGTATATCACACAGTGAAACAGTATTACTATTTACTGGATGACACAGTTTTGAAGAAAATTTATTACTGTTCATAATCACATCAATTGTAATCACACGACTATGACACTTGAGTTTTATAGTTTTCTTTGTTCTCTCCTATTTGTCGTATGGGTAGTAGAACTTTCCAGATATCGGGGATAAGTGATGAATCATTCCTATTACATGTATTTGTGGTGGATTCGATAAAAATAGCTTCCGTTGTTATAAATCTCTCCCGCCACCCTGTGACATTAGATTCTAAAACTGTCTTCCTATCACATCCAACCTATTGTATGGTTGTGTGTAACTGCATGTAGTGCTTGCGATAGCTACTGAACTATTCTCTAGATTTCTCATCTTATTCGGGTCAACCAATCTAGATTTTGCTGCTAGGTATTTATGTTCGGCTAGTCTGACTCACTGCCCCTGTTCTACTACTTTGACCTATGTATTTGACCTGACAATCATCTCAGGCAGGGTGTTATATAAACTAAATTTTTTTGTCGGTTAAGGGCTCCACAGGATTGATCCTTTAACCGACAAAGCTTGTTTCTAATTGAGTTTGTGGTTGGTTTGAATTCCAGTCACTTTTATTCCTGCCTTGTTAGGAATTCTGCGTAAGGCTTCCGAGCTTCCTTCCTTGTATGGAATAACTACTGATGATTTAGATTCTTTATTGTTGGTGTCGTCATTAATATTATTATTATTATTATCACTATTATTATTATCATTATTATTGTTATTATCACTATCGCTACTATCATTATTTATTTTATTTTTACATTTCCTTAAATATTTCCTGACAAATTTATCCGGGTAATTATTAAGTTTCAAAGCTTCCTTTATGTGTATCAGTTCTTGTTTTAGATTTTCTTTGGTACTACTTAATTTTTGTGCTCTGTCATTTAAACATTTCACCAATCCTATTTTTACTGACATAGGATGGGATGATCGGAAGTCTAAATATCTGTTTGAGTGTGTGGGTTTCCTGTAAACACTAGTGTTCAACTTCTCATCTTCTTTCCCCTTTACGTTGCAGTCTAACATTGGGAGCTCCCCTTCCTGATTTTCCAATTCATAAGTGAATTGAATTGCTTCAACCTTCGAGTTGATGTGTTCGAAAAACCTATCTATATCTTGTGTTTTAAGTACACTGAATGTGTCATCTACATACACCTCCACCATACTTTTCGCGTGGGGGTGAACGTTTCAATCGTTATGCTTTCCCACTTATCCATGAATATATATATCACCAATATCCCCAGTTGTAGCAGATAGTGAAATATAGCGTCAAAGATGTATTTGAATTCGTAGACAAAATCAAAGTTATCAATATCAAGGACAAAAGTATAATATCTTTGGAAATAACATCTTTATTCATAAACGTACCCCTAGTAGAAACAGTTAACTACATAGATATAAGAATAAAACTTGGGCACTGTGGTAGAGTGTAATTCCATTATGGGTAAATTTTTATTTTGATAGAGTCTCACAGTGTTATACCAGTCTTTACACAGTGTTATACCAGTCTTTACACTAATATACCAGTCAATATGGCCTTAGAAGCAGTTAGAAAAGAACTAACTGCGGATACTGAACTCAATCATAGGACAAAGCTGTCCATTGAGGAAATTATTTTAGGGATTCAGCTATGCCTCACATCTACTATATTTAAATTCCAAGGCAAAATATATAGACAAACTGAAGGTGTAGCAATGGGATCACCAATATCCCCTATCGTGGCAGATATATTTATGGATAGCTGGGAAAGTATGGCACTTAATACATTTAATCCTACTCCAAAAATATGGTGGAGATATGTGGATGACACTTTCACAGTGTTAAAAACAGAACATATCTCTAGCTTCTTGACACATATTAACTCACTAGTGGAGGGAATCAAATTCACATTTGAAACCGAAAATGAGCAAGGAGAATTAGCTATGTTAGATTGTAAAATAAAACGAATAGAAGAAGGCAAACTACACACTAGTGTTTATAGAAAACCAACGCATTCTAATAGATATTTAGACTTTAATTCATCTCATCCTGTAACTGTTAAGGCAGGCTTAGTTAAATGTTTAACAAACCGAGCAATGGCACTAAGTAGCACAAAAAAAGACCTAAATGATGAAATAAAACAGATAGAAGAGGCGTTGGTTTTAAATAACTATCCTCTAAAATTCATTAGGAAGATTGAAAAACGCCAAAAGAAAAATAAAATGAATTGTGAAACTAGTAATAATAACATAAATAAGAGAGAATATAAGTCATCGACAGTTATACCATATAAGGAGGGGACATTTGAGGCCCTACGTAGGATTCTCAATAAAGCAGGAATTAGGATGGCAGTGGCATTTAAACCTACAAACTCACTCAGGGACAAGCTCTGTAGGTTAAAGGACCCAGTGGACCCAATTAGACAAAATAATATAATTTACAAAATACCCTGCAATGACTGTGAGGTCAACTACAAAGGTCAAACTAGTAGGTCAGGGGTAGTCAGATTGTCAGAACATAAGAATTTAGCTAAGGTAAGAATGGTTGACCCAGAGAAGATAAGTGATTTAGAAATAAGTTCAGCAATTGCAATGCATGCATTAACACACAACCACACAATAGGGTGGGAGAGGGTTAAAATTCTAAAAAGTAATCTAGGTAGGTGGAGAGAGAGGTTGATTACTGAATCTTTGTTCATCGAATCTACACCCAACACATGCAACAGAAGTGACTCAATGCAAATACCAGAAATATGGAAGATATTATTGCCGACAGTCAAATCAGAAGAAGATGATAAATAGTCTTAAAATTCTATTTCCATTCAAGCACATCATAACATTCTAACAATCAACTTATTATGACTGTAAAAAAAAAAACACTCGTCGTATTTCCCATCTAATTGCAATGGATTAATAACACTCGTACTATTATTTCTGAATGTACATTATCTCATATTGAATTTTAATCCAATATCTAGTCGATTCCACACATGTATATAAATGAAGGGAAAAAGTTGTGTGAGTAACTTGATATGATTATGAGCAATAGTTTGTGCTCGAAACGTCATCAGTAAATATTACTGTATAACACTGTGAGACTCTATCAAAATAAAAATTTACCCATAATGGAGTTAACTACATATGTGAACAAGTATATAACCATTCGATACATATTGGCATACCATCAACGGAAATCCTAAAAGAATTGCTATTAAGGTGTACACCATGAATGGAAATTTCAAATTTGATGGTACACTTTACAGACAAGTGGACACCAATGCGATGGGCTCCCCATTGGGTCCCATTTTGGCTGATTTCTTTTTTAAGTAAACTAGAAAGTGGACCTTTGAGCAACAACTTATCAGAAAATTCTCATTTTATTACCGCTATATGGACAACAACTTTATTCTTTGTGACAATCATTCGGATAGGAATACAATAATAACTGAATTCCATGATGTACATTCCGCTATGAAATTCACGTGTAAAGAGGAATCCCGAAAAAGGAAGGAATTGCCTTCCTAGATGTCCTTCTTACAAGAAAACCAGATGGTAGTATAAAGAGAAATTTGCATAGGAAAACCACATGGACAGGACGATATACACACATTTTCATAGCTTCCTTCCTATCCAGTACAAAAGAAATTTAGTCAGGACTCTCACTCAGCCGCACGGTTACAGCTATATGCTCAGAAGAGGTTAGTGAAGATGAACTAAGCATAGTATATTATTCCTCGATTGAAAATAGCTATCTGGACAAATTCATCAGGAAACATATGACATTAGAAAGTTGAAAAGGACTACTCACTATCCGCAAACAGGAAGCCTTTATACATACGACTGCAATTCAACGTCAATATATACCTAGCGAAATAATTATGAAGAATTTTCATCATGAGCTGACATTAGTTAGAGAACCATTGGAAAACATACAGGGAGTGCTGGACAGCTGTTTCGCCCTAGTTTGGGGCTCTTCAGCAGTACGCACCCACCGGGTTTCGAACTCAGGACCTTCTGGTTACAAGGCGAGCTCGTATACCATTAAGCCACTGGGACCCGATCCAATGGCCCATGAATTCTAACTTTGGCTGGGGGTCGCGCTATGTCGTGAATTGGCAGAAGTTAGAATTCATGGGCCATTGGATCGAGTCGCAGTGGCTTAATGGTATACGAGCTCGCCTTGTAACCAGAAAGTCCAGGATTCGAAGCCCGGTGGGTTCGTACTGATGAAGAGTCCCAAACTAGGACGAAACAGCTGTCCAGTACTCCCTGTATGTTTTCCAATGGTCCTCTAACTAATGTCAGATCATGATGAAAATCCTGTAACCAATCAAATCACTACAAACCAACACTTGAATTATGTAGAACTTAAGAAAATCAGTTGAAAGAACTTTTAATGCTGGCAAACTACGAGTCATATTTTCTACACGACCGATCAGTGGTGATTAGTCAGTTGAAAGACGAGGTACCTAGACTAAACAAGCCACTTCCACTTGTATCTATCAATTCAACTGCGCTTGTGGTGGGGCGATTTATATTGGCCGTTGCTCGCTCGGGAATATCTACCAGTGTGGTTAAATGAAGGTGTAGTGAGAAGCATCAACAGGTTGACATTAGACCACCTGGTCCGAACCGGCCACAAAGCTAATATTGAAGAGTCCTTCCGCATCATCTACCGAGTACAAGATAAACTGCCAGAAACATCCACTTCCCGCATACTCCAAATAGGAGAGGCTATCGAGATTCGCGTGAAACAACCATTGCTCTGTGAGCAGTATATATATGCAAACATATTGATTTTTTGTTTAAAAATGAACTCTGTGTAAGTATGTTAAAATTTCATACATTTGGTTCCCTTGATAAATTTCGATATAGAAAGGAGGATGAAATTTGCAGTATAAAATGATATCGTCATTCTATTTCACAAGTTCTCATCAGCCGCACACCCCTACCTGAAATTACACAATGGTTATATAGATGATCATAACATACTTTAGTGTTTGAGTAGTAGTAGAGAAGAGATACTATAAAATTGACGCGTCCAAAATGAAAGCAGCATTACAATTTTTAGTTTAAGTTTTCATCATCAATTTATACGCTTTTAAAGTTGAGGGGTGGCGGGAGGGGTAAGACAGAAAACAGAAAAAATTAATTAACAGAACAGTGTTGGCTTGTAGCTTGTTCACATAGCAACTGAAAAACCAACAAAAGCGGTTACAGTTTATGAGATTAAGATTTGTTCAGTGAGTTGAGATCACTCACTGAATTAGATGACTAATTATTAATTAATGTAATCAAAATCAAAATTCTGTTACCAAGGGAGTGAGAGGTTAATCACACACACTCTCTTTCTGTATGCATAAGTCTGGTTGGTTTAAATCGTTTGATTGCGATCGCTTCGTAGTAAATTTGCTGTCTTTTGTCTATTTAATATTTTGAAGGACTTAGAAATCTCTACGAGATGTCCGGTATCAACAATATGTCTGATAATTGCACTCTGAGAATATTCGTTTCCTTTCAGGCACAGGTTTCTTGGAATATGTTCAGAAAACCACAGGATAGAAGCCCTTCTTTCTGTCCTTCCAATGTACTTCCTGCCACAAGTGCACATAAATTTAGATACGCAGTTGGAGGTGACATCAGCAGGGTATTTATCCAGTTTTGAGTGGCTTATAGAAGAAGAAGAAGTGGTGCTATATAATGTTATGAGTTTTACTGCAGGTGGCAAGCTTCTTTTTATTGCACCTTTCAGTCTTTTGTCAATCTTTTGTGACACTGCATCTCCTTTGAATGACAGGGAGACAAATAAACACACACTTTTTTCTTTTCTACAGTTGGGTGTTTTTCTTTATTGTCTTTTTCTCTGTTATACTTCTGATACTGGATGCGTCAGTTTTTAATATTATCTCTTCTCTACTACCAGCACTCAAACATTAAAGTATGTTATTATCATCTATATATAACCATTGTGTAACTTTAGGTAGGGTTGTGCAGTCAGCTGATCAGGAGAACCCGTGAAACAGAATGACGATGATATCATTTTATACTGCAAATTTCGTCTTCCTTTTTCTTTATGTGAAAATTGTTTCTGTACATAAACTGAATAATGAATGTCTTCAGACGACTGGGTACAAAGAGCTAAACACTGTTGAGAAGTGTTAAGCGAAATAAGCAATGCTAAATGGTACCATCTTCTTATTCTACACAAACCACACATACACACACTGTTTTTCTTGCTTTATTCCAATTCATTAAAGGGGAATAAATCCATTAGCTTCGGGTTATTACGTACACTCTATCAAATAAAATACATATAGAAAATCAAAACAAAGGGTGATTCAGTCAACGAAGGGACTCTTTTCAACAACGAATTTATTATCAAGCTGTACAATCGTATATATATATATATATTTATATATATATATATATATGTATATGGCTTTTAAGAAGTTATATCCGGTGAGGGAATTGAAACATAGATCTGAGTGAATGCATAAAATAATAGTAATAATAAAAGTAGCAGTATGAAATGCAATTAAAACTAAAATGTTTGTGATTATAATCGTAGTTAAATAATGTCAAGTGGCAAAGCAAATTAATGTCACACATGTAGAATAATTCATAGGATGGATAGAACTTGGTAGGTGAAGGGTGTGCAATTATACGATTAGTAGACAAATCGAATAAAATAAAATAAAATCGTTACGTAATATTGTGTGAAATTTAATAGCATAGAATTTAATGTTGTAAAAAAGAAGAATTGATTTAGAATGACAAGTGGAACAAGTGAAATAATAGTACCGGGGACAGTTCAAAGTGAGAGTAGTAATAGTAACAATTGACGTAATAAGTAAGGGTATACTAATTGAATGGACAAAAATGAAAAATTGGTAGAGCTAAAATATGATTGGGGATTACCATACTTTAGCATAGAGGGATTAAGACCATGAAAGTTGGAGGGGTTGAACGAACTTTTTCTGTACACAGAGATCTGGCTTTTCTGTTTCGATAGACAAAGCTTCAGCAATACAGATGAGTCGGGTACGTAGGGATTTGGGTAAATTACTCTTTGCCTTGTAGATGACTTTGAAGGCGGAGGCTATAAAGATAGGGTGATGACTACCGACCAGATGTTCAATGATTGCGCTTCTTATTGCTCCACTTCCACCTTTTCGTAACCATGCAGGATAGTGTTCTTGCACCCTCTTGGACAAAACTCGTGTCGAACGACCGATGGTCTTAATCCCTCTATGCCAAAGTATGGTAATCCCCAATCATATTTTAGCTCTACCAATTTTTCACTTTTTCATTTCCGTCTATTCAATTTGTACTCTCTTCCTTATTACGTCAATTGTTACTAAATTACTATTCTCACTTTTAATTGTCCCCGGTATTACTTCACTTGTTCCACTTGTCATTCTAAATCAATTCTTCTTTTTTACAACATTAAATTCTATGCTATTAAATTTCACACAATATTACGTAACGATTTTATTTTATTTTATTCGATTTGTCTACTAATCGTATAATTGCACACCCTTCACCTACCAAGTTCTATCCATCCTATGAATTATTCTACATGTGTGACATTAATTTGCTTTGCCACTTGACATTATTTAACTACGATTATAATCACCAACATTTTAGTTTTAATTGCATTTCATACTGCTACTTTTATTATTACTATTATTTTATGCATTCACTCAGATCTATGTTTCAATTCCCTCACCGGATATAACTTCTTAAAAGCCATATACATATATATATATATATATATATATATATACGATTGTACAGCTTGATGATAAATTCGTTGTTGAAAAGAGTCTCTTCGCTGACTGAATCACCCTTTGTTTTGATTTCCTATATGTTACAATGGGAATTTTCCATGATTTAAAAAATTAAAAAATACAATCAAATCTTTAAACTATTATTTAAAAAAATATATCAATACCATATCAAATTCACTGCTTCCAGGATGTTGATTATTATTCTCAGTAGTATCACTTTCATCTGAATTGATGATTGGCGGTGCTGCTGCTGTTGCATCAATTGACGATGACGACGAAGCGCAAGCACAAGTACCAGTAGAGCCAGGAAATGGAAGATGATTACCGTTAGCTTCTTGAAGTAGTGGAACAGCAGCAGTTGAAATATTATTAATCATCACTGGATTCATACAAGTAGTGGAAGTGGAAGAGTGACCGTCTGTACGCCGTTGACAGATAGGTGGATTCAATGCAGCAGTTGTTTTATATGATGAATCAATATCTGCATTATATGCGACCTAAACATAACACACACACACACACACACGCAGGAGGAGAAAAACGAAAAAGGCATAGAAGATTTTCTAAATGAAAAAACAAGACGGAAACAAAGACTAACTAACTGACTGACTGACGAGTTTCAACACAGATGTCCAATAGTTCCAGTTGCCACACCCCGTCAATATACAACACAAAGCAACAGAAAACAGAGATTCAAAAGAGACGGAGACAATAAACAGAAGTATGAGTTAGGCAAAAAGAATACTAATATGGAAGAACAGTAGAGTTTTAACATATATATATATCATAGGTCACAATGAGTGAATGCATCTACGCCAGCGTCAGCCATCACCGCGAAAGATTTTGAGCTAGTCATATCACCAATAATTGTCTTCAGCCTTCATTGGTTCTCATCACCATCCCAAGGACCCCAATCAGGCAGTCAATCGGGCAGTCTACACCCCCCCACCCTACGTAACTGGCTGGCTTAAACTAATTGTACTGGATTTCATTGACTGATGATGAAGTCATGTTTTGGTTTGACCACCACTGCCACTGGCCAGCTCTTTTCCAACCTCACCCATCCTATGTCAGTCAGTGGCTAACATTGCCCCACCCTTCGGTCGAGGAAGGGTGGGGGGCAATGTTACCTACCACTCGACCGATGCCTCAACTTAATATTGCTCACCACCCTGTCTGCCACACCTACCACCACCTACACCACCTAACACGGGAGATAGAACGCAGACATCTGTGCTCAAAGACAGCTAGATAGCCAGCCAGCCAGTTAGGCAACCGGATCTCACGTCTACTAAGCACACCAGAGATGGCCTAACAATATACATGAAAGAAAGAGCTTCTTTATTGCAGATAAAACATTAATAATAAAGGACACAATCCGTGTTTACCAACATGAAATGATGAGATGAAACACGGTGAACAAATGGTTCTCGTGATCATCATGTGAATGATGATGACGTTGATGATGATGATGGCATCATTTTTTCGTTTGTTGTTCTTTTTCTTTTTGAAAGAAGCTGTAAACAACAACAATTATTGTACTTGTTAACACATGAATATTTACTCACTCACTCACTCACTGACTCTTCTCCACCCCCAATAAACACACAAACAGTGTGTCAATGGACCAGGAGATTTACACATATGTGCAGTCAAATTATTTTTTACGCCAGCACGTTCACGTACACCTTTTTTTCTTTCAACGAACAAATTTTTAAAAGTTAATAAATCACATGTTTTAGTGAAGAAAATAAAAATATTAATAATTTGCTTTTTATTGTTTAATTTCAAAGACACTAAACATATGAGACAATGAGATGCTTCTTCATGACACGTAGACACATAACCTCTTCTTAAATAGGATTAACAATCATTCCTAGGATAACACAAATGATTACGCACACACATACAGTTTGGGACACACCCACCGACAGCGTTCGAAATCAGCACTTTCCGACTCTGCAAGGCAACTGAACTGGTGTAGACCATTTAGCAGTCACTGAGATCCGATCATCAAATGTCCATTGCATGAATTCTACCTTCATATATGTATAAAACTTGGGCACTGTGGTAGAGTATAACTACTCCATTATGGATAAGATTTTATTCTGATAAACTGTCACACAGTGTTACACAGTAATATAAAATGATGACGTTTCGAGCACAAACAAACAGAAGGTGTAGCAATGAGATCCGTAATATCCCCGATCGTAGCAGACATATTTATGGATAGCTGGGAAAATATGGCACTGAATACGTTTAATCCTACTCCAAAAATATGGTGGAGATATGTGGGTGACACTTTCACACTGTTGAAAACAGAACATATCTCTCTCTGGCTTCTTGATACATATAAACTCACTAGTAGAAGGAATCAAATTCACATTTGAATCGGAAGATGAACAAGGAGAGTTAGCTATGTTAGATTGTAAAATAAAGCGAATAGAAGAACGTAAACTACACACTAGCGTTTATGAAAAACCAATGCATTCCTAATAGATATTTAAACTTTAATTCATCTCATCCTTTAACTGTTAAGGCAGGCTTAGTTAAGTGTTTAACAAACCGAGCAATGGCACTAAGTAGCACAAAAAAAACCTAAATGATGAAATAAAACAGATAGAAGAGGCGTTGGTGTTAAATAACTATCCCATAAAATTCATTAGGGAGATTGAAAAAGCCAAAAGCAAAATAAAAATAATTATGAAACTAGTAATGATAATACAAATAAGAGAGAATATAAGTCATCCACTGTTATACCACATAAAGAGGGGACATCTGAAACTCCACGTAGGATTCTTAATAAAGCAGGAATTAGGGTGGTGGCATTTAAACCTACAAACTCACGCGGAGACAAGTTCTGTAAGCTAAAGGACCCTGTGCGTTGACCCAAATGAACAAAATAATATAATTTACAAAATAACTGTGAGTTAGGTCAACCACATAGTCAGACTAGTAGATCTGGGGTAGTCAGATTGTCGGAACATAAGGATTTAGCTAAGGCAAGAATGGTTGACCCCACCCAAGAAGATAAGTAATTTAGAAAAAAGTTCTGCAATTGCACTACATGCAATAACACACAACCACACAATAGCATGGTGGGAGAGGGTTACGATTCTAAGAAGTAATCTATGTAGGTGGAGAGATAGAGAGAGGTTGATTACTGAATCCTGGCTGGTTCATCCAGTCTACAGCGAACACTTGCAATAGGGATGACTCATCACTCATACCGGAAATATGGAAAATACCACTACTACCAGTCATCAAATCAAGCGATGAAAAATAATGATGGAATTATATAAACGAAGTTATGTGAGTAGTGCCTTGATATGATTATGCGTAGGGATAAGTTGTGCTCGAAACGTGGTCATCAGTTAATATTACTGTGTAACACTGTGTGACAGTTTATCAAAATAAAATCTTATCCATAATGAATTCCACCGTATGCCAATTTACGCACGATATAGTGCGACTGGCACTAACTATTGTCATAATCGTCCATACAGCAGACCTGCTGTATGCCAATGGTCACAACTTCCCCCACTAGAACCACCCTATCTGAATAGGGCCAGTCAGTCACTAGTGAGCATCAGATTGATGATATTCAAGTGTGTTGGTGGTGGTTTGCAGTGACTTGATTGGTTTACAGATTCTCTAACCGATGTCAGCTAATGATAAAATCCTGTGGCCCATACTATGGAAGGTGATTTATTCTACGGGTATTTGAAACAGAAAGAGCCTTAGTGTATTGCGTAACCTAAGAACACGTGTGACAGCTGCATGAGAACCGCCTGATTTGGATTTTTTTGGAATCGTGTCCATGTTAAGAACTTACCCCATTGCCTACGGACCGTCGGAGGATTTAATCGGGATGTACAATTTTCACGGTCCAGCTTTCGTAGTCCCCTCTCTCTCTCTCTCTCTTTCCAGAATGGTGCGAAGGGGCAGAAAAGGGGCGGCATGCTTGTCATCTATCTCTCTTATCGGTGTTACACACTCCTATTCCAGGGCAGTAGGATTTCGTCCACAAGGGCCTCAAACATATTGGGTGTAAACAACCGATTCTAGTTAAGCTGCCTGCTATCCAAACGACCCTAATAGCACGGAAATATGCCGTGTGCTTCGGATACGACTGATAGGAAGACGTCAAAGATTGAATTCGACATTTTAATTCACACTAATGGTTGCTGCAGGAGTAGAAGCGTTTATTCCTCAAATCTAAGTGTCTAGCGCTTACGATGTGGACAAGAAATAATCCCGTTGGACAACCTTTTTCAAACCTCGAAAGAAAAATTTCCAACCAATCAAAAGGATTTATATTCCGTTGACCGAAACCGGATTGTAATGTGACTAAAAATGTTTATGAGTAAACAATATTATGACATCTAATCCACAGTGAAGACGAAACAATTTTACCGGTCAAGTTCGTACTGTGGTAATATTCATGTACCTGAATGAAGTGTGTGTTGGCGTAACATAGCAGAACACCAAGTCTTACATTTCGATCCAAGTATAACCGACGAGAATCATATCATAAGGACAGTTCAACAGCACTCAAACATCTGAGATTTTTTGGGAATTTACTATCTTATTTCAAGGTATATTTGTTTAACCTCATTTTTATAATTTTGCTTCATACTACTTATTCTTAGTAAGTAGTATTATTGTCTTTACGAATTCTTATGGATTTTATCGAAAACAAAATATTGTTAAATTTGTGCTTATTTTGATATATCCAATATCTAACTGTATTGTCTGTTAGATACCCATTCGACTGCCTTGTCGAGCAGCTCCTAATACTTCAAGACGCTGACAACATAGAGCAGAGTATTCTGAACACCTTGAGCTCCGATATGCGAATTTTTGGCAAGCGATTCGCTCCCGCCAAATGTAAGATTATGTTACAGGATTGGACAACACTGACTCATTGCTCAGAAATAGGAAGCGACGGAGTAGAGCACGTTCACCGCTTCATTCAGTTGAAAAGTTGCATCAGACCAGCCAACGACAGTGGGTTGATCTGGTCGCCGGCGAAATCTCACCACGGATACAGAAGGTTCGTTTCGCATATACCATTTTACGCCATCTCTGGTTTAGTTGACGTGATATCCGGCTGGCTATGGATCAAAGGACGTGTGTACTACTCAGCAGTCCGTTCCGTCCTCCTTTATGGCTACCTGTGACACCTGGCCATTGGGAGTGGAATGCATGAAAAGCCAGGATAGCTGTCTTTGATCATAGGTGCCTGCGTTCTATCTCTCGTGTGAAGTGGTACAACAATGTGAGCAGTATTGAGTTAAGGCTTCGGTCGAGTGCTAGGTAGGTGGGAGGGGAAGTCAATCGACAATGAGGCTGTGAAGCTACATCGACTGAGATGGATGGTTAGGACACGCGTTACGCAAGCCTAGCCATCGCCTTCCTCGACAACCGAAAGTGTTAGCTGATACAAGATACATCTGAAAGGAAAAGAGTTAGCTAGCCAGTCGTGGCGGTGATG